TATCTAGACTTCCCTTCCTCTACTGAGATAAACTACCCAGTTCAACTGAGGGGTAATAATTTAATTCAACAATAATTTAATTTGGATTCTTTCAACCAAGATTTTAAGCATCAAAATTCTTACAACGGCATTTTAAGGTCACTGTAGGAAAGAAAAATAAATTATTATTACAGAGTTTGGGGTAATATTCAGAGAAAAAACTCAGAGAACAAAGTCATACATTTAGGAGGAAAAAAACGATTTTCTGAGATTAAAGTGGCAGATTTACCAGAAAACAAACTAATTTACAAGAAAACAAACTTGAATAGTCTAAGGTTACAAAAACTTACGAGAAAAACAATTCTGAAAAATAGTATTGTTTATGTCTAATCATGGACAACTCAATGAAAGATATCACTTCATTACCCAGGTTAGAATTGAAAGAATAAAAGAATATAGGCTACCAGTGACAAAAGTTTATATGATAAATATTGAGTTAATAGTTTGAGTTGTGGAGAAGAGCTAAGACCATAAAAGTGTATACTTATTCTTACTCCTTCTCAGAGATGTAATATTTATTTATGTTGATTATTTTTGTTGTTAATGAGAATTTGTTAGACAGTTTGCTATAATTACTTTTCATTTTATTTCATTGTTTTGCTGAGAGAGATGGAGTCTCTGCTGAGTTCATTAAGAGGCTGAGCTGACTACGCACACGCGCACACACACACACACACACACACACACACACAGTGCGTCTGTTGCTAGCTAGCTTGTAGCTAACGTCTGTACAGTTGGTACGTTGACTGTTTGGTGCGAATCAACACAAACAGTCAAACTGATACAGATGATAAAAGTAATAAATGAGCTTTGTCTTCTTTCTGAACACGTGTTTATTTTACAGTATTTGTTAGATGCACAAACATTATTGAATGAACATTATTAATGAAGACAAAGACCTCATGCCGATCGATATAATTGATCCCAACTCATCCAATGGATGCAGCTTGTTTTCCAAGATTAGTTTTCGACTGAACTATCTGCAGCTGTAGTCAGAGTTACTTAAGAGTTTGACCATTTAATTTCATTCCTGATTTAAAGTCTATTTTGTTAAAGTCACCAGTACTTTTAATGATGTCATGTCAAAGTGAGGTAGCTGGTGACTCGTGGAAAGTAACTAAGTACATTTACCAAAGTACTGTAAGTGCAGTTTTGAGGTACTTCATTTCTATTTTCTGCTACTTTGTGCTTCTACGCAACAACAATAATTCCATACCGTCAGTTACTCTGCAGACTTAGATAACAAATACAGAATATAATCAATATGTCAATTATGTTTTATTATAGATTATAATCAAGCTGTATTGATCTCCAGGAGGAAATCAGCTATGCAGCAGTACATAAAGTAATTAAATCAACTCCACCTCTACCAGCTGCAACATTAAAGTGATGAACACATTAATGCATCAATAATTACAATGCAGAATTATGAGCCACATTCGCATATTAGAGTATTTTTTACCTCTGATACTTTAAGTACATTTTGATACTTGTAGTACTTTGACTTAAGTAAAAATGTGAGTGCATGGGTCCTATTTGTAACAGAATATTTCTACAGTGTTATTTATAGTATTTCAAGATCTTAGTTCCCCATCACTGAGTGACTCATACTAACCGATCATCCTGTTTAACTACAGAAAGCAACAATATGTCTTGAACTGATATGAGATGTGATGAAACACACTTCACTCAAGAGAAACTGTTTCCTGCAAAGCTTAACTGACCGACTGAAAGAAATAACATCGTAAAATAAGAGAGTGATAGAAACAGAAAGTCAGCGTACTCACTGAAAAAGAAGAAGCAGATCAAAGTCTGACGACCGTCCATGTTTGAGGTTCTGATGGTTAAGGCGGCCTCTCTTCAGTCTTCACTTCACTAAATGATGGAGCCCCTCCTCCAAACACATCACATTCTCTACTTTACTCCCTTCCTTGTGCATTTTTTCCGCTGTATTATATTTTGTACTTTAATTGTAGATTTTTTGTCTCTATATTCACATAATCTACAGAGCCTTAAAGTTCTGAAAGATGCTATTTTTCTATCATGTGCATACCAGTTATTATAAAATAATAACCAACATTATATGTAATCCTTTTCTTTGTTTTAGATATCAGCAGGGTTTTGTGTTCTGTATACTATAGCAAAGCAAAACCAAGCTCCAAGCTAAAATATGTGTTACTATCGAGCGTTTCTGAGCATTAGAAATAAACAAACTTTTAAATTCTTGTATTTTGTTAAATGCAATCCAAGAACGTCCAAAAACGTTTGTAGTAACATAGAACATTTTTTATTTTGTCCACAAAAGAGCACTGACAAGTAAAATGTCTCACTCAGTAATATATTGGTCACAATTATTTCGAAATACACACAGAATTGATAGGATTGAATTTAAAATGGTTTGTTTATATTATGTGTTAATGTTAAAAAAAAAAACATCAGTAGATATACGGTAATCAGAATTTTTACAATCTAAAACATTACAATCAGTATCAACCACTGACTGTGACTGGCTGCTAGAGTGCTGCAGGGATGACGTAATTTAGCAAACAAACATGTATAATACTGACACTTTTTGTTCAGTAAGATAATCTTCTTTGAATGATCTTTGAAGGGTAAATACAGTCACCATAAGTAAAACGCTAACAAACTACACCGCGGTGGAATCCCTTCAAGTCCCCACCACGCAGCTAAAGGCGGACCAGTGTTCAGTGGGAGGACGTTCAGTATTTCATTTATTTATTATTAAATAATTATTATTATTATTATTATTTATTCACTTGTTAGCAGCCACCTTTTTTAAGACATGTAAAAGCTTCAAAATTCAAGAGTGGGATATTAACTGACTTATTTTATCACGAACTGAACTAATTTAAAAAAAAAAAAAATTGACTTTCAGATGAGGTAACCTTTAGTTACTAACCCAATTCTGGGTGTTGGGGCTCATTCCTGCAGCACTCTTTTTACTCGTTTACTCGCCTGTTTGTCACATGAGCATCATTTCAGTATGTATGCTGCTTCATGTGAACTGTTAATTATCTATATCTTAGTATTGAGCTGCATATACTTCTCTCTTGTGGCTTTAAATATATTTATCAAACTGGCCTGGTTCCTGTTTCTTAAGAAGGCAACACCTTAGTCTAACACATAAAATTATGTGAAGTTTGTTTTAAAAAAATCAGAGGTCACTTCATAAATATCAAAATACGGTACATATTTTCACAGGCCATTGTTCTCATGTCAAATAGATCCCCGAAACAAAACTAATTATAGTTTAACAAATACAGAACAATACTGTGTCTAACTGCAATAACAATATATATACATATATTTTGAGATATACTGTATATACAGTATATATAAATTTCAGCTTAGAGAAACATCTCATCTTCTCAAACCTAAATATATTAACTTTTTTCCCCAGCAGTCATTGCTGTTAGGTGTCACATTTTAAATCACACTGTAAAACTAACAGTTAACAAATATAACAGTTCTCAAAATAACGTCAGTTGTCTGACATGATAGAAACAGATTGTGGTGTGAACGTTACTCATTCAAACCCCTCTGTGTTCCTCTGTTGACCACTGATGGAGAATGTGGCGTTGACAGCGTCTGTGCTACGGCTGATGTGAAGTAACAATGGAGTACAGGGGAGGTGAAGTGTCTTCTACCCGCGGCACGGAGTAGATAACGTTATCTGCATTACCACGGGGGGCGCTGTGGAGCGAGGCAGCTGGACCGTCTGCAAAATCTACCTCAGAGTACAATAGTTTACTCGAAGCATCTTCAATCTGCAAGAAAACAAAGAGAGGTCAAAGTTCATCACTTAGGCTCTTAGCGTGTGTGCTTCCTCATATCATGTAAACCGTTTACAGGGTTTATCTCCAAATGTATTGAACTTATTGTCTGTGGTGCAGCTTTCACTCTGAGGACTTGTACCTTGAATCAATGGAAGCGTGAGGCTCTAGATATGAACAGAAACTGGCCTGGTTCCTGTTTCTAATAGGTTTCTTTTCTCTCTTGATGAAAAAAATAGACCGATGGAGTTTCTTTTCCAACTTTATTGACTTAACTTAATATTTTTACCAAAGTTAAGTTACTTGGAATTGTCTCAGACCACTTCTCAAAACCTGGATCAAAACAAAAAAGGCAAATGTACTGTCAATCTAAAAAGCTAAAAAAAAAAAAAAAAAGAAGAAGCCGTCTTTTGGTGTGGGACAGAGAAATCGCTTTTATGAAATGTGTGAAAATTGTAACCATGACCAGTTATTTTAGTGGATGTAGCCTTCATGTGTGTTCTAAGCCTAAAACCTAAAACCCTCCCACAGTTGCAACTTACGGGCTTCTGAGAAGTGGCTGCGTTGGCCAAGCTGTATTCGTCTGAGGTTTCGACACCATGTGGTTTGGTGTATTTGATGTAAGTGTAAACTGTAGATACTTCTACAGGAGGAGATGTGCTCCGTCTGTCCTCCTCTCTGATGTCCTCGTACACACGGTTGGCCTGAAGGAGAAGAAGAGGGGTTCGTATTAATATTAGCAGGTTTCACAAACATGAAGGATGCTGTGATGTCCCAGATTTACTCAAACTCACCTCTGTGTCATTAGCGTACTCAGTTTCCACAGGAGGTTCTGAAAGGCATGCAGTTCAGTATATCAGGTCAAAGAGACAACTTTAAAAAAAGCATTTTACGTCTTCTTTTTAAAAAAGAATCCTAGAAAGGTTTGGGGCAGACATCCACTCCTCTTGAAGAGAGTCGCCTTTGTGCTCTATTTTTTTTGGCAGGATTATCTTTATTTAATGTTATTCTTTCCACCATGATATTTGCTTTCAATCTCTTTCAAACAAACCTATATAATACCTTGATGTATAAGATGGTATACAGCTAACGTAAAAATAAATACATTAATATAAGACAAAAAAGGAGCAGTGTGTAGGATTTAGTGGCATCTAGTAGTGAGAATGTGTGTCAGAGAACTACGGTAACATAAAAATGCCAAAGGCTCTCAATAGAACCAGTGGTTGGTTTGTCCTTTCAGGGCTACTGTAGAAACGTGGTGCAATATGGGGAATTCCGTGAAAAGGAAACACTCCCTATGAAAGTATAAACGGCTCATTCTAAGGCAGGGGTCACTAATAGGTGGGCCGCGGTCCGGATCCGGACCCAGACGACGTTGTATACGGACTCTAGGCCTATAACCGATTGATAATTGATAATTATTTTATTTTGACGGAGCGCTTCAATATTTACTCGTGCAGCTTTTCTAGCCTTTATGGTACTCGTTCAGCGGTCCGGGAAACACTCCAATGCGTTGTAAATATTCTCATGTGATGCTACTCAGCCAATCAAATATGTGTATTCTGACAAACTTTCCGACTCAAGTGAGATTCACACACGAGAGAGACGGGCGAGAGACAGAGTAGATTTTTATTTGCAGTAATACTGTTAGTGAGATATAAGAATTTCTTTCATTTTGAGTTGTTTAAAATCTTTGTTCCATTTATCGTACAACTTTTGCAGTAAGTGCTGTTCCTTCAGCATGTTGTATATTCTGCCAATGAAATGTTTCTTTGTTCCTTCTTTAAAGATAACATCCTGCAAAGGTCCTGATCTAAAATATATATATTTGTCAATGTGAATTTATTCTGAAGTTCTGTAAATGATTGAACACTATTGTGCATAATTATATCTGATAAGTGTTAAATTCCCCTTGTAGTCCTAGTGCTCCAGTTGAGCTCCAGATTTTGGATTTTTATTGATGGATCTTTGTGTTCCTCGGGATACTAAATTGCATTCCTAGTATTTTATTCAATGTTGTTCCATGATTCTAATGTGCGTTAGTTCATAAAGAAGTGTTGGGATCTGACTATATGGCTTCGACATGTGCTGTGGAACAAAGAGAGTCAGGCCTTCCCTTTTGCAAGCAAAGGTTTCATCCTGATTGTAGTTTGATGAGCACCAAACCCCCAGCTCTGAAGAAATTCACATTAGGGTGTGAGTTTCCTCCCCCCAAAAACTATGCGTTCCTGAAGGTACCTGAAAGCAGCGCTGCAATCTAATTGGACGAGAGCAGGGATACCCCAGGACCCCTGTGGTGCAGCCACCGTTCTACAAAACTACCAGCAACCCCCACCTCAATGCCTTTTCCCCTTCGACCTCCGTCGAGCTAGGGAGCACACCAACGTGGTTTCCCTTTTCAACCAAATCCTAGGTCTAACAGTTTATATTCGCTGGCCGAATTCACCAAACTGTCTATTTTATCTTTGTTCGTATCCACGAAGCGAACCTTTTTATTCCTGCAGAAGTGAAGAAGCAAGACTTCTTCAGAGCGAGAGAGAGAGAACCACTCTCCACCAAGCGCCTCGTTTGCTCCGGCCATAAGGACGCGAAAAGCCCTTATCCAGACGACAGCGATTCTCTCCTACCGAGAGAACACCTCCCGCGGCCCGCAGCCGCGCTGCCCGGGCCCACCGAAGCTCAGAAGAACCCCTCAGAAGAGCCCCCCCTCAATCAACATGATTGCATCGTACCGTAAGGCGAAATAGAGTCTGGGCAGAGTTAGAGAGTTCATTTGTGTTTATTTTATATTGTTTGTGTGCTTAAAGTACTGTTCGTTTTTATAATGTGGTGTATGTTTAATAATCGCCGACACTAACGGTCGCTGAGATCGTTGGGGTTGTGGAGAAGCTAGTGTATTTCATGCTACCGTGATCTGTGTTGAGCTAGCCGCCTAGTGAGGTCGAAGTTGCTTCTCATCAGTTCAGGAGGTCAGAACCGCCGGCTGAGACAAAGAGTCGCGGTTCTTGCTCCCCTAGCTGAGAGAGCAATCTTCCGTACTCCAGCGCGGCGCAGAGGATCTTAATCTTTTGTTTTATTTAATTTTGTTTTGTTCTATTCCCTTCTCTTTTACTAACACACACACACACACACATATAGCTTTGAGCTAATGTAGCTACGTGCTAAACGGCTACCGGCACGTATAGACGCCAGGTCTCCTGTTGGCTATCCGCCATTTTTGAGTCTCACGCATGAGGGACGTCACCACGTCCCACTACGTCATACGTCGCTGAGCTGTTCCCTCGCTCCTCCCCCTTACGCACGCGCGCGCGCACACACACACACACACACACCCCTCTTTTCATCGTCTGTTGATTTTAGATAGCGTGCTCATGAATGTATAGTTGTTGTTAGTTTAGATATTAGTTGACTAGATCATTAGTATTGGAACGTAATAAACTCTGGTATATTTTAAAGAGCAGCTGTCTGTGATTACTTTGTGTATTGTGATGATAGCTGTATATGTGGTCTGTGCTCGAACTTAAACCTTCACTTTCACTCTGAATGTGTAATAGTACTCAGACTGTTGACATTGCGAGTGAACACTAATTATGAGACTTAGTTTTATCGTTTGGTTATTGGTCCCTGTTCGCAGGGTGGTGCCCCGTTATTAATAATCATTAATAATTGTTACTGACATTAATAATTCTATTGATGTCAAGAATTTAGTTTGTTAGATGCTGATAACCCAAACACGCTCCTCTACGTTCCCAACATATTGGTGCCCCCCTTTTTGAGGTTATGTTATTCCCAACAGAAGTAATATTTTATATTGTGTTTTATAAACAGAGATTTCAAAAGGTTTTGAGGCTTTAGTTGTTTGCTTCCAATAATTATCCAGGGTTCTTCAGCTGTGTAAATATAATATATAATATAATAATACGCTATATATGAGACATCTGAGAGGCATAATACATTTGGAAGTTTTAGACCTCTTTCTGTTCTTGGATTTGAAAAAGAGTTCTTCCCACCCAATTAGACCGGACTAAAGGGTGAGTAGGAATAAATAAAAATGTTTTGGGGGAATTAGAGCTATCGTTTTGAAAATAAAGAGAAGTTTATGGTCAAATTTGACTATTTGTTAATGCTACTTTGGAGCTCATTAATTACAGAAAGAATGTTATCATTGTATAATTGTGTTTTTTCAGTCCTTATATATGTTCTTCCACTAAGAATTATTGCACCCCATCAGCCTGAATGACCTGTTAATGTGCACCTAACATCCAGTCACTGACAGACGTTGTTTGTCTTTAGACTCATTTTTTTTTTTTTGTTCTAAATTATTTAACTTGACTTCTTTTTTTTTTTTTTTTTTTTTCTCAAAATGTTTACAAGAGTTTATTCTACTGTCTGGATCATCTCTATTCACGACACAGCCTACACTACAGCTTTTACAAAAAGTTACTTCAGATGCATATTGATGAGATAATAGCAGTTTAAATAGCTAATGATAATGTTCATTTGATTCTATTAAGTTCAGCTTGACACAATTTACAAAATCTTATACCGTATATGAATAGTTATTTTATGATATCACTGATATATCACATGAAATAATCTTGGAACATCTAGCAGGATTTAGCTTTCAATTGAAAATAATCTGAAACACTTTTCTTCATTAGCTAAATGTTCCATTTTAGATGTACGGGTGTGTGTGTGTGTGTGTGTGTGTGTTTTTCCTGTTTCCTGTTTCCTCACCTTTGGGTTTACTGGCCCTCTTCCTGCTAAATATCACCACAGCTGCCAATAACGCGACAATCATGACGGCCAGAGACAGACCCACATACATCAGTGTGTAACCTGTGGTTGTTTGAGCAGAGGAACAAGTTTGTTTTACACTTTATTATACAATATATCTGGGAGCCTGCATCACTGTCAAGCTAATAATAACATCAACTAAATATTTTAGTCATTAAATTAATACTTTATAACAAAAAAATGTTCCAACCTGCAGCTGGTGTCTGTTCCTTTTGAGACTGCTGGGTACCTTCGGGGGAGGCTGATGAAGGTGTGTAGCTTCCTGTACTGGAGCTCAAACACTGTGTTGTAGTCTGTGTGGAGGCTGATGGGACTGATGCTGGAAGAGGTTTAAGAGTCACGTTTGGTTTTGAAGAGATTGGAGCTGAGAAACAAAAAAAACAATGAACACAACTACACGATCAGATACTAATTGTACAGATAGAAATCTGTGGTAACATTTCACTTAAATAACACTAATTATCTGTGAATGCATCAATGCATTTCTAATCATACAGCGAAATGCAGAATATAATCAATGTGTTTGGTGTAACACTATTCAAATCAGCTGTAGTGTGGGACAGTCTGCATTCATCTGATATGTTAGAGTTGAACTTCTGGATTTAAAGGAGCATTCATCAGTTTTTACAATGATGAAAATATGCAGCTCTAAATATAATCGTTAGACTAAACACATCGAGGTGTTTGAAACATCAGCAGCTGTCAGTGAACAGTTAATTCTCTCAGTAGAAACTCACCTTCTTCAACTCTGATCTCAATATCGTGGTATGATGGATAGGGTGTTAAAGATCTGTGCAAACCACATCTGTACTTTCCTGTATCAGACTTAGTCAGCTTTGTGATGCTCACATACAGAACTGTAGACCGTACTGGAAACAATCCTGCTGTATATTCAATGCTGTATCTGCCACTCTGAGCTCTGACATCCTCTGTTTCAATGAGAATGTCTCCTTCTTCACATGGTTGCTTACAGAAGATCTTCTTTATTCCAGAGAAAGTGAAGGTGCATGTAACTGTGATGTTTCCTTCTCCTTTTGCTGTACGCCGGATGATCTCTGCATTGATGAGACCAGTGTTTCTGCCCCGCAGTGCTGCTGAAAGGATGATCAATCAATAGTTATTATCTAGACTTCCCTTCCTCTACTGAGATAAACTACCCAGTTCAACT